CATATTGGCTGGGCTGCAAAAATATTCATTGTGGGCTGCGAGTTTGACATGCTTGCTCTAAATTTACTTACAATGTAAACAGTAAAGATGAATTTCCACAAAAGCACATTGATAAGAAGAAAATGGAAACATGAAAATAACTTTATAAAATTAATCGTAACCGGTTTGGCTCAGTGGATAGAGCATCGGCCTGCAGACTAAAAGGTTCCAGGTTCGATTCCGGTCAAGGGCATGTACCTTGGTTGTGGGCACATCCCCAGTAGGGGGTGTGCAGGAGGCAGCTGATCGATGTTTCTCTCTCATCGATGTTTCTGACTGTCTATCCCTCTCCCTCCCTCTCTGTAAAAAATCAATAAAATATATTTAAAAAAAATTAATCTCATCTATATTGAGCAAATACTATTATTACAAACTAAAGAAGTGATAAAGATTGGTTTTAGACTTCTCCCTATAACAAAAATAAAAATATATATTCATATAATTTGTGTTGAACTGCTCATTTTCTAAAAATGAAATAATTAGGTAGGTCACAAGATGGTAATGAAAACATGAATTGTAAAAGGCAAGAGGCTTGAAATTCATTTCCATTGAACAAAACTACCAGAATGCAAGCAGAAAAGATATATGATCTCAACAACGAGAAGAGTTACGACATGAGGAAGCAATGTGACAAAAGTTTTGCTTATCAGAAAAATTTGAGAATAAAAAATATTATAAGAATATATAGCACAGCTAAATTAAAATGGTAATGGAATACAATCTGATCAGCAGACTCAGAAGCAAGGAAGTATACAAAATCAGCACAAGAATAACAAAATTACAACAATAGTATGTAACAAGTATTACATAAAGCAGATCAAATTCGGGACTCAGTCACAAAACGTAATTATATCTTTTGACTAAACGTGCTTTATACTCAGATTATGTCACATGAATATTTTTACCTGATGAATAAAAATGTAGAGAAAGACTGTGTACAGGGTAAAGCAAAAGTACGTTTACAGTTGTGGGTATGCAAAACAGTTTGTTCTTGTATTATTTATTAATTATGATATCATTTTCCATACAAACAATTGTAAGCCTACTTTTGCCCCACCTTGTATGTGTATCTGTGTGTACATAAGGATATTCCTCTGATCCTGAAGAAGACAGAAATATTTTATTGTTACCGAAGTTATTGAAAGCCATGAGTAACCAATGAAATGAGTGATCAAGATAGACTGATATTTTGGGCCAAAATTAAAGTATAATCATAAAGGAATGGTATTGGTAGGCTTTGGTTAACAAATTACCAAAGAAATAAAAAACAAACATTTTTGTCAAGAATGGAAACAGAACCTCCATGTAACAAATGTATATGAAATTACTTTGAATATGTAAGTTCAGATTACAAATCCATCCCATTGCTACTTGCCTTATACAGGTGCTTATGCATGTGCAGGCAGGAACTCTCTAGTGAACAGGTAAACACCATAAATGTGACACAGAAGTTGAACCATACATGACATGAGAACATTGTCACTGTGTCTAGTAAAATGAGAAAGAAAGGGAACTTTTTAAATGCCTTTTGGTATCAATGTCTTTTAAATGTTCTCAGGTTATGCAGTTCTCAGCACAACACATAATGCCGAATGTGAATCAATGTTACATGACTTCAGTTAGTTGCATGTGAGTTTAAATATTAAAATCTGAAGTGCCACAAATTAGGAGTAAGAAATAGATTTAAAAATGTATGCCTCAAAGAATGAAATCTGGATAAACCTCACAAGTAGGAATTCTCCCAAGTGATCCTTTACTACAAAATTAATTCACATTAGTGGAAGGCTTTCCTACACCCAGTGCCAGGAATGCTTTTATCCTATGGGAAACAGTTCATGCAAAATACTAAATTTACATATTTCAATATTATGTTCATTCCGTTGTTTTCCTCAGAAAGCAAATCAAACCTCTGCGCTAAATTTAAAATGAATTATAATTTTGTTGAAGATTTAATTGCTAAAGTAATTTATTTGAACAGTTTAAACAGTTTACAATTTTAGTCAACATAAAAATTTGTGGGCAATCATATGGGAAAACTCATAAAACCACAGCTAAATTCCTAGTAATCAAAGTTTTATAGACTGAAATAGCCTTTAACTAACAAATTATCATTATGATTTGATGTTAACTGCATTACCATATTTAAATTCATTTGAAAATGTAAGAAAAGAATAGTAAACCATTAGCTCATGTAAGGAATTTAAAATTGTTTGTTTTAAAGCATCAGCACTATTATAAATCTAAACACAAATTCCAAATTTTCTGTCATTCTTGTAGGAGTTCAAAGAGAAAGTAGTTCTTATGTAAAAATGGAATTAAGTTCGAATGCAAGAACCATTCCCAGACCGTGTTTCACAAGTTATAAAGTGAGCCTATAGATATAAAGATTGTTTTTCTCCGAATAGAAGAAGTGTCTTCAGTATTCAACCAGTTCTTAAAGTTTATCATAAACTAATAACCC